TGACAGGAGGTTAGAAAACAGAATACAGGGATTTGGATTTTAGTTTAAGGCCTGTAGACTATAATCTGTGGTCAATGTGGAGCTAGTGAATATTTTAAGTAGCTAACAACAGGAAAAATTTTATGAAGCCAGTTCAATATTTTGGAGGAAAGTATTTAGAGAAAATATTATAGGCAGGATTATTTAGGTTAGAGCTTCTCAAACTGTTTCATCTCAGAAATCCTTTAACTTAATTCACAATTTTAAAAGACCCCAAACAGCTTTTATTTATGCAGTTTCTATCTATTAATGTTTATAATTTTAAAAATTAAAGTTGAGGGACACCTGAGTGGCTCAGTTGGTTAAGTATCTGGCTCTGGATTTAAGCTCAGGTCATGATCTCGTGGTTTGTGGGTTCAAGCCCCGCTTTAGGCTCTGTGTGGTGACAGTGTGGTGCCTACTTGGGATTTTTATCCCCCCCCTTTCTTAAAATAAATAAATTAATTTAAAAAATTAAAGCTGACATTGAGGAGGGCACTTGTTGGGATGAGCACCAGTGTAAGCCAATTTGACAATAAATTATATTAATAAAAGCACATATAATAAAAACAGATAAATAAATAATAAATTAAAATTTAAAGTTGATAAAAATTTTTAAAATATATTTGCTTATGCATTTGTTAAAAAAGGATAAACCTGTTACATGTTAACATAAATATTTTTATGATAAATATATTTTCCAATACAAAAAAATGATGAGATGACTGACTCTGTTTCACACTTCTGTGAATCTTATTAATGTCTAGCTTAATGAGAAGATGGTTGGATTTGCATATCTGCTTAAGTATTCAATCTGTTGCCGAATCACAAATTATGTAGCCTCTGGAAAATGCCAGGGCATACTCATGGGAGGATGAGAATGAACAAGGCACACGAGGAATTCATATCTTTATTAATATAGTTTTGACCTTGAGGAACCACTGAGAGGGTCTCAGGGACCCCAGGAGTCCTTGACCACATTCAAGGACCCGTGACTTCAGAGATGATTGCCCTGGTTCACATGAGAAGTTAGAAAAACCTATGTAAGGCCACAAACGGCAATGTGAGGTGAGAGCTACAGGGAATGAAGATCAGCCGTTCTCATTATTTTAGGCAAAATTAAACAAAAGAGAGTTCAGCCAAATTAAAAATTCCAGAAGACAAAAATGTCAGGGGCAAAGGAATAACAGAGATTGAAGCTTACCCCAGGATTTGAGTCTCCACGTCTACAAGGAGAGTGGGGCAATGATGTAAGAAATAGAGAATAAGCACATTTGTAGTGAAAAGTGCAATTTAATGGGACTTTGACTTTGAGAACTAATGAAAAATAGGAAAAATTGTGTGTTAACAGATAACAAGTTAAGTATCTGTAAGGGGAGAAAGAGTGGCATACGGGGGAAATTTCAGTAGAAAAAGGCTTGCAAAATGACCCCCGTTGAATATTCAAAAATGTCACTCCACTTAAGCTAAGAGATGGTGGTTCTGATACCCAAAGTCCGAAGAACAGTAAAGGTGATGGGCAAAGCTCAGTGCCCCCAAGAGTCTCTCTTGTTAAGGTTTCTAAAAGAGACTTGAAGAGACATAGGGGGGATAAGATCTTAAGATGAAAAGTTAATCTTCAGAGTTCACTATGCAAAAAGCTCTTTGCCTCCTGGTGCCCAGATCATCTTTGATAATAAGGAAATTGGTATGCACTTTTTAAAATGCATTTTAAAATTCACTAACAAAAGAACTTCCCACAGCATTCTAAGCCTTAAAGCCCTCCTGATTCTCCTCTAAGAACGTTGCCAACCATTAATATCTTTGAATTATACCCCAAAAGTTTGAGTGTGAGTAGAAATAAACTTTGTATAAAAGTAAATGTTGAAAATCCAAGTTGTATCTGGTGATTTGTACAAATATGCCTCATTTGAATTGACATGTGCTTCCTGCCTCTAGGGAAAAAATTTCAAATCTTATTGAGATTATAGAAAATAAGAAACAAGAGCCTAAAAGCTTACCACCGTATACCTCCCTAACCTGCTTAACAGAAGCAAGGGAAATAGAAGCTCATGAAACAAAATCAAATGACTGGCTAGAATAGCTGGACATTGAATCTGTTCTCCTTTATGTATCGGAAACAATGAAAATTATTCTAGATAGCTATCTTGTTTCTCAAACATCATAATCTTTAAAATTACAAAACTTTTCCAAATAGGAGATAAAAGATAATCTATGAAACTCTTTGAAAATAATAATAATAATAATAATAATAATAGTATGTATTTTATACATTTTATATCTGGTGGTGAATACTGAATTGCTTGAATCTCCCTGGCAAAACTGTGCCTAAGCTCTCCAAGCTCTTCCAAATATTGGAATTTTGGATATTTGGAATATCCAAATTTTGCATATTGATCACCAACAATTTCTCAAAAAAAAAAAAAGGAGAAGAAGAAGAAGAAGAAGAAGAAGAAGAAGAAGAAAATGAGGCATCTAATCCAAGAAAAATAGAACAAAAAGTCCTCGAGGCATGGCAATGAGGAAAAAGAACTATATATAGCCTAATATTATTCAGTTAGTAATTTGGCTACTGTTTTATATACCCAAAGGTCTTTTAATACTTTGGTTTGAATACTAATAAATGGAAATATAATTGTTCATATTATTCTTCTTTCTTAACTTAAATGGTAAATTGTTCTTTATTCCCAAGAAAGAATGGTAGGAGAAAGATGAACATTTTTGAGAAGTTACTGTCTATCAGAAACTGTGTCAAGAAATTACTACCTCTTTTTTTCTTGCAACATATCTGTATCCTCATCACAGTGTTGATCATGGAAGTGAAATAATTTCTAGAATACACTGAAAGATTTGCTATGTTTACATGGGTAATTAATACTGACTTCAATCTCTTAAAAGAAACACACTAATGTGTCTGTAGGCTTTATTCTAATACCATGGTTTTGCTCTCTCTGAACAAATAACGACCAACTAAAATATTTTTTCTGTCTCATATTTATGAACTCTTAGATTCTTGTTTAATAGAAGCAGAATGTGACTCCCAAACTATGATTATTCAAAATTCTGATAATGCTAAATATAAAATATAACACTTGTTTTCCATTTTTCTCAAATTACATGAACGCTAATTAGATACAATTGTCATTTTCAAAGTTAGCAATGATTGCTTATGTCTTCATACTATTTTTACTAAGAAAATAAGCCTGGATTAATAAACAGTGGTGATATTTAGATCCTGTCTAAGTATTCTCAGGGTGCATAGGAAACATCTCTGTAAATAAAATCACAGTGACTGAGATGGGCTTAATATTTCCCTTAGCTTGAATAAATTTTAGACAGGTGCCTTCCTAATTGTAGGCTCTCAACTTCCCATTTATTAGTACATTTACTTTAGAAAACGTACGATTGTAAAGTCTTTTCTTATTTTTTTTAATGTTTATTTTTGAGAGGAAGAGAGAGAGCACAAGGAAGGGAGGGACAGAGAGAGAGGGAGACAAAGAAACAGATGCAACCTCCATGCTCTGAGCTGTCAGCACAGAGCCCAATGTGGGGCTCTAACCCACAAACTATGAGATCATGGCCTGAGCCGAAGTTGACACTTAACTGACTGAGCTGCCCAGACACCACTAGAAACCTTGCAATTGTAAATTCTTTCTCTATTCCTTTGAAATATAGATTTATACCTGGAAATATCTTTCTCAAGACCGAAAAAAAATGTAATGAGGCATCCTTTTGAAATTTAATTATCAAAGGACACAGTGCCCTTATCTCCCAGTCTATGTGGGAGGGTAGGAGCCTAACTTCAATAAGCAACAATTAGTAACACAGATGGCCTAATCACAATGACCCATGCTCCATGCCCCAATCACCCTATGTCTTCTGGTACTTTTCCACTAGCTCATCTCAGAGCTTTAAAATTCTTAGGCTTTTTGTTACAGTGGTGTTAAGAGTTCAACTTCTAGTACAATGGACTTGGGCCCTATTGCAACAGTCTTAAATAAAATCTTCCTTACCTGTTAAATTCCAGTGGGTGCAAGTTTTCTTTGATAGCAAGAATATTTTACTCCACTTCAAGACACTCTGACAAAAGGAGGCGGTGTGCAGTGGATGGGCTATGACTTATTTGCAACTTAATAGAACAAAGTAACATCTGCTACTGGTGATTTGCTTGACATTGGTCATTTGCTGGTCAGTGTCAGAGATATAAGTAGTTAATATAGTAAAATAGTCTGTATTTTTCATATTTTTGAAATTTGATAAAACCTCTAATGGAATGGAAGTTCTGGGATTTTGAGAGATTATGTTTTATCACCTTTATCTTAAGAGAGATGAGATTTAAAATTTATTTTTGAGGGGCACCTGGGTGGCTCAGCTGGTTAAGCGACTGACTACTTATATCAGCTCAGGTCATGATCTCATGGTCTGGGAGTTCAAGCCTGTGCTGACAGTGCAGAGCTTGCTTGGGATTCTCTCTCTCTCTCCCCCCTCTCTCTCTACCCCTCTGACACTCATGCTATCTCTGTCTCTCTCAAAATAAATAAATAAACATGCGGCACCTGGGTGGCACAGTCAGTTGAGCTTCCAACTTTGGCTCAGGTCATGATCTCATGGCTCATGGGTTCGAGCCCCACTTTAGGCTCTGTGCTGACAGCTCAGCCTGAAGCCTGCTTCAGATTCTGTGTCTCCCTCTCTCTGCCCCTCCCTCACTCATGCTCTGTATCTCTCTGTCTCAAAAAAAAATAAACATTGAAAAAATTTTTTAAGTAACAAAAATAATTTTTTAATTAAAAAATAATTTTTTGAAAAGTAGTTTACCCATTTACATGGAGTAAAGTAGAAAAATACATTTATGAGAAATGTGTGCATAACAGAGATCCTGTTACCCATAGAAAATACAGACAAGATGGTAGTCAAAATCCAACACTGATTTTTGGTAAAGTGTTTACACAAAAGGCATAGTGGAATTTTTGCATTAAACATACCTTCCTTCTTTTCATCTTTTTTGGCTGTTGCTGAAATAAGATAAATAAAATCATGTTAAGACAATATTAAATGATCATTCTTCAGTATGCTCCTGGGAATCTGAGAAAGCATTCCATGTATTCATAAATTGAGTGGTTATCTATACATAAATTAATGCATTTAAATATGCAATAAGAGAATAACCTGAAAATATTATTTCATATGAGGGTTTTGTAAAAACTCAGATATGAGCATAAAACCAAAAACAGAATTAAAAAATATGTCATTACATAGACAAAGAGTCAAATTAATAAGTATGGTATGTGTTTCATATAAGTTCATTTTAGGTTTGAAATTGTTATATCTGAGAAAACCACAAGCACTTCTAAAAGAATATGTCTGGATCTATGCCCAGAATGAATGTAATATTTTATAAATTATCTCTGCCTAGCTACTAAAAAATTATGTACCAATTTATTATATGCATTTACAGTAGTGTGTTTAAAATGTACCATTTCAGCAAGGGATAATGACAGTCCCACCTTCCTTATAGCAAATGTACACCACCTCTACACAGAGAAAAGGCAAGGAACACTTTAATCGTCTTTGAAATCTGACTTCCTCTGTGGTGGAATTCATTTAATCTTGGATCATGAATCTAATTCTGGGTCTAGGTTGTAACATATATTTGTTACCAAAAACATGTAGGGTTAGCTTCGGATTGCTCCAAGCAAGATGCCTCTTTGTTCTGTATAAAGTTCATTCGGGAGTCAAACCCACTCAAAGAAGCCTTAGGCCACATAAATTGAATCAGAGATTGTGCACATCCTCTTAAAGTAATCTTGCCTGAGTGAATCAGAATTTGGGGGATGGAGTCATTTGGTTCCAGCTCATGGTTCATGAGATTGAGCACCAAGTGGGGCTCTGTGCTGACAGTGAAGAGCTGCTTGGGATTCTCTCTCCCTTTCTCTTTTTGTCCCTTCCACTGTCTCTAAAAATAAACAAATAAACTAAAAAAAAAAAAAAAAAAGAATTTGGGGGACCACTTAGAACCAACATATAAGACTACTTTGGGTGTTTAGTTTGGGCTACACTTACTAAAGTACCTTCATGTACAGCTTCTCTGTGGGGCTTTACAGCAGCCTTTTGAGGAAAGTAGCCCAGAGTAAGAAACCTACCTTACAGACAGTAAATGGTTTGCACATGCTTATATAGAAAGAACTGACAGAGTTAGGTCTAAAACTCAGGAACAAAAGACTGCACGGGAATATATTTAAATTTATTAATTTAATTTACTATAGGTGTTTGTTTTCTATTTTCTAAATGTTATTAAATGTTGTTACTTTTGTCTTTAAAATTTATTTCACAAACAAAATAATTCTATCTTGTAACATTTGTTCCTTTTAATGGGGTTTTAACTGTAATATACAAAATGTATAAAGGATCTACATTTATATTTTTAATTTAAAGCATCCATCTAATCCAATGAAATAATGAGGATAATAATAAAGAGAACAACTAAAAAGAATTTGAAGATAAGAGCAACACTGGATAGATTTAAAAGGCACAAGGCATAATTTCAGCAAACCCTGTAGGTTTGACTCGGTAGACTTATTTGTTGTTAGTGCTTTACTTTACAAGTATGAATTTCCTCCAAGATGCTTTGTAATTTTCAAAATCATCCAACAAGCATATATTTTGATTATGGAATTCACTAATTTTTGTATTTTGCCTGGAATTTGTTTAGTAAAGAAAAAAATGAAATGGATGTACCCTTTTATTTACTGCAAGACATACTTTATTTTGTTTTTCTCTTATATACTTATCTCTACACTACTTCTCATAATTTGAGTCTCCAGTAAGTTGGATCAAAGGATTTTGGTAGAGAGCTCTTTAAACAAAAACAAAATAACACAAATTCACAAATTAAAAATTGCTGTCCTGGGGCACCTGGGTGGCTTAGTCGATTAAGTGTCCGACTCAGGTCACAATCTCACAGTTCATGGGATTGAGCCCCACATTGGGTTCTGTGCTGACAGTGCAGAGCCTACCTGCTATTCTCTCTCTCCCCCTCTCTCTGTGCCTCCCCTGCTCTCTCTCTCTCAAAATAAAGAAATAAACTTAAATTTTTTTTTTTTTTAAATTGCTGTCCAGGGATACCTGGGTGGTTCAGTTGATCAAACGTTCAATTCTTGATTTCAGCTGAGGTTAAGATCTTATGATTCATGAAACTGAGCCCATGTTGGGCTCCGTGCTGATAGGGTGGAGACTGCTTGGGATCCTCTCCCTCCCTCTCTTTCTTCTCTTCCCTAGCTCTCTTTTTCTCTTTCTCCAAAAATAAATAAACTTTAAAGAAAAAATTGCCGTCCAGAAAGTCCTGGGAGAGGCCCAGGCAAAGGAGTGGCCATAAACTTCATCAGGATAACAATAAACATACTTGTTAAGAAGGACAACCAATGCCGGAAAGAGGATTGAGAACATGAATACATTTTGAAAACCTGTTATCTCTTCTGAATTCTACAGAGAAGAAAAGCCCTCCAAAAATAGGCAAAATCCTTTGCAGCTTTTTTTTTAAAATTTCTAAAATAATCTAAGAACAACGCATTCATATGCAAGTGCAGGCATGTGGGTATGTGTACAAGTGCTCCTCTTTCCCACTCTCATATTCTTCAATAGATTCAGTTTTAAACTCTGCAGTAACAAGAGTTGAATGATGTTTGGCCTATTCCTTCATAGCTGACACTGGCTTTGCTTCTTGCCTTGTGTTCCTTAAAATGAGTGGCTTTTATTCAGAGCCGTCTGGAAAGCCATGTGGTCTGTCAAGCTGGATTCCACTCCAGAAGTTAATCGAAACCAGGCTTTCGGGATCCAACTGCTTCCAGTATGGCTTTCTGACTTTTGCTCCATGGGTCCCACTGCAGACTCTCATTCATCTCACCTATTCTACTTCACTGAATTATGTGGCTCAATGGCTTCTGACTCCTCGGTCTGCTGAGTAGACATGATTCTTCAGTATGGGCTCTTTGTTTTCATATTCCAATGAGACTGCAATGGTTAACATTTTAGTTGTCTTGTTTTCTTTCTATTTTCTACCTACAATTGTTCAAAGACTTTTAATATTTGTTTTAGAAGTCCAAAGGGAAAAAAAAAGCCACTGGAAATACACTAACACAGATGCATATAGACTCATCTTTTAAGGTGATTTCTGTCCTTCCTTGAACATTTCATTGTGAGCAAGTGTCTGCCCAACCATTGCATCTACACGATTAAAAAATTGTTCCTTATTTTTCTTTTCACTTTCCCATTTTAGTCTAATTCCATTTCTTCAACACAGTTTATTATGTAATGTCAATGAATCAGATTGATCTCCCACCTAAGTTCTTATTGGCTACAGGAAATTCACTGCTTGGATGACCCTCCATCTGCTCAGCATAAAGCTGTCCAAAAATGAATCCTCATGTCCTCCCATAAGTTAGTTCCTTTCCCTGGGACCTATTTTTTTCCTAAGTTTTTAATGTTCATTCATTTTTGAGAGAGAGAAATAGAGAGGGCATATGACTGGGCAAAGGGCAGAAAGAGGAAGAGACAGAATCACAAGTAGTCTCCAGGCTCCAAGCTGTCAGTACAGAGTAAGGTTTGAACACACAAACCATGAGATCATGACCTGAGACAAAGTCAGATGCTTAACCAACTGAGCCACCCAGGCGCCTACTCTGGAACTTATTTTTGACAGTTGTAATCATCCTATTCAACCAGGCTCAAAATCTCAGTACAATTTTTAATCCTTCTTTTGTCTCATTCTATATATTCTATCAAATATTATTTTTTCAAAATATCCATCTTAGCTGCATTTTTCCCAAGTCACTGACACCATCATAGTTGAGGTTGTCTCACAGTTCGTGGGTTCAAGCCCCACCTCGGGCTCTGTGTTGACAGCTAGCTCAGAGCCTGGGGCCTGCTTCGGATTCTGTATCTCCTTTTCTCTCTTACCCTCCCCTGCTCAAGCTGCCTCTCTCTCTCTCCCTCTCTCTCTCTCTATCTCTTTCTCTCAGAAATAAGTAAAACATTAAAAAAAAGAAATAATATTAACTTAATAACATTCTGATTGATTTCTCTAATATGACACAAATTACAAGCTATAATGGGAAACATTATATTTATTTGTATATCTCTATCAATCTTTCTATCATCTATCAATCAATATATGGCTTAATTTTGGAAATAAAAGTAAAAGCTCCATGATGGAAAGTTGGAGTCAACATACTAATTCTTGGGTCCTTCATGGTTCCTCCAAGTACTAAAAATAAATAACAAGAAATGTGTATTTTAATGCAACAATATTTTCTGCAATAACCCAGCAGATGGTGCTATTCTGCAATAAACAGCTTTTGCTTTTGTCAATAGAATGTTATGTACTTTTTAAAAAGAAAGAAATAGAATGTTTGAAGTGTTTTATTGCTTACCTTGTGCTGCAACTTTTGTAGTCCCTTGTTTGGTTTCAGGAGCTTTCCCTGGCTCTTATAAAGAAAAAGGTAAATAAATTACCATGTTGATCTATTTCAGAAAGATATTTAACTCCCCTCCCCCCCACAAGGGGAAGATTAGAACATCAAAAACAAACACAAAAAACATTGCCCTCGGCACTCGGAATCTTTGTTGTGAGATGAATACAATTGTTAAAGAGATCACCAGGAATTAAGCTTATTGAGACCAAAAAAACCCAAAAGTTTCCCCAAACTGCCTTATCGTTGACTGGCCATGGAACACTGCATATGATTGGAACCTGAATCTGAAAAGCTCAGAATTCTTTGCAAATTATTTCTGTATTATCAGCACTTTGAAATGATGGAACATGTAGACAAAACTAAAGTGGTTCGTAGAAGGTCACTGAGTGACTAAATGAGGATAAAGCCCAGAACTACCAATATGCATTTCCAGTCTGACTCAAGATGCCATTCCTTGTACTGCCTAGATGCCCCCCACCACTCCACTACTCATGAGGTCCTGGGCGGCAGTATGCATTGTGACAGAATAAGAAAACTTCATTTTGAATCTTTCTTCTGTCTTGTCTCAGGTTTCTGTTATTTTTTCATAATTTTCTCTTTGAAGAAACAGAACACAGAAACACATGTGATAAATATTTAAATGTATTATTTAATTAATTTGCATGAAAGAAAGGGGAAGTAAAGATTACAAATAGCAATGCTTATTTCCCATTTTATTCAATAATGGTTCATGATTATCTTCTGTAGGTTTTTGATGATTTAATTATCATTTAATAATATGGGAAGGAAGATTTGGTCATTTGTTAAGATGTTGACCTCTGTTCATTCATTCATCACATAGTTATTTAGGACTTATTATGTATATACATTAAGTAATGTGTAAATTGCTTTTGCATTTTAAATTGTGGTAGCTAATACATACATATATATATACATATGTGTGTGTGTGTGTGTGTACTCAATCTTTCATTTACTCATCAAATGTTGATTACAGCTTCTTTAATATTATACCTCTAGAGTTATAAAATTGCATCAGAAAAACTTGCAAAGAATCAAAGCTTCCATGTTTTTTGGGTAAACAAAAGAGGTTTAATTTCTAACTCATACTTTACTTCTTGGTGGGTTAATTATTCATTTATGTCATAATATTTATGATTATGAAAATGCCAATTTTTATTTTGCTTTTTATAAAAAGAAATCTTATTTGATTCGTATATAATTTTATTATTACCCATTTATTATTCTGAGAAAATGTCTTTTGCCAAATTAAATTGATTTCATTTTACCTATGATCTCTTTATTACTAACTTTCATTTTTTTTCTTGAGGAAAATTCCATGCCAGCTTCATGCTAGTGCTATCTTTGTCACACCTAGTATACCTAGGATAAATCTCCTCAATAATTAGCCAAGATTTGTGTACAGGTACTGAATTTTTAAGTATTGCTCTAACCCTACACCTAAGTGACTAGCATTTAGTAGTAACTTAATAAATATTGGTAAATGAAAAAAATAGGTGAAAGGATGAAAGAATAGGTCCAAAAGATCACCAGAAGCACCCTAGACTGCTATGGTGTTTCATTCTTTAAAGATTTCAACATAGCAGGGGTGCCTGAGTGGCTCAGTTGGTTAAGTGTCCAACTTCGGCTCAGGTCATGGTCTCAACGGTTCCTGGGTTCGAGCCCCGCGTGGGGCTCTGTGCTGACAGCTAGCTCAGAGCCTAGAGCCTGTTTCAGATTCTGTGTCTTCCTCTCTCTCTGACCCTCCCCTGCTCACGCTCTCTCTCTCTCTCTCTCTCAGAAATAAATAAAACATTAAAAAGATTAAAAAAAGATTTCAACATAGCAGAGAATTGTAAAGTAGTTCCTAATTTTCAAAAAGAAGATTTTAAAATTGCAGTCAGTATAGTACCTTAGGATTTTAACAGCTGATTTTCCTATATTCTCTTTTTCCTTTATGTTCTTTCAGATCACTGCTCCTAAAATGATCCCGTGTCCACACCTAAGATTCTATTGGAACACTCCATACACTGAACTGTGAATTAAGGGGAACTTTTCTTAGAACTCTATAACTTCTGTTGATCATTTGGTCACTCTGTCATCTGTTTTGTCCCTTAGTGGGCAGGGATCAGATCATGCCCCTGACCATTCAACATTTTCCATTTGAATACCCTGACAGATGATAGACTTCATCTCTCAAAAGTCACATCTTCACTAACCTTACCAAATATCTGACTGTGTGCACATTGAGTGGAAATGACTTAAGGGCTCATTTCCTATGGACTCTTCTTTTTGTTATGCCATAGCCCCTCTCTTCCCCACCCCCTATAAATCCACAAATCCACTAATGCACAGTGATGCATTAAAGATGCATTAAAGATACTGCATCCCAGGTAAAGATAAAGTAAGTTGAGCATCTAACTCTTGATTTTGGGTCCAGTCATGATCTCAGGGTCATAATATCAAGCTAAACATGGAGCCTGCTTGTGATAATGCCCCCTTCCCCCAGCTCCTCCTCCCCACTGCTCATACACTCTCTCTCTCTAAAATAAAACTTTAAAAAATTAAAAATTGTTTCTGTTCCAAGGTAAAAGGTGTTGTTTTAAAGGGGTGATTCTACAGGCAATGTCCACCCACTTAATGGGTGCTAATTACTTTAATGGAGCTAATTCTCAAGTCTTTGGCAGTGAAATATTATTTATCACTCATAATTCCATTTACTCTTTCTCTCATCTCAAGCTTCAAGTCCATTTATATTCATTCATAAACTATTAATTAACTACATTCTAATAGGAATTAAAAGTTTAAAACTAAATGCTTTCCACCAAGTCTGCCAACTTGCATCCACCCGACCTCAGCCTCAAATCTATTAAGGACATATGCACAGGTGATCAGATTTGACATCTGCTTGACAGCATTTCGGTTTTCAAGACCACGAGCCTTTAAGGAAGCAGTTAACTCTGAGACCAGAAATGCACAGCATCAAAGCCACCCAAAAGTTGCATAAGAGTAAAAATACATCAAATCCATAAAATCCTAATTATAAATAATTTTTCTGGCTTTTATTATTGTGATCTGTAATAGAAACCTTTTATGTAGAAAATTCAAATATATACAAAAGAAGAAGCCATAATGAGCTCCATGTTCTTAACACCCATTTAATAATTATCAAGTGATGGTCAGTCCTATTTTCTCTGTATCACTCACTACCTCTTCTACATGCATCCCAAATGAAAATTTTATTATAGCAAATGATTTTCTTTCCCAAAATATATCATTTGATAATTTTTATGGTTATATTTTTAAAATAAAATACAATGATTTAAATAAAAATATCAGATGATAAGAAAATTCAACAGAAACATAATAATTCTGAAATTGATAAGGAGACAGGATGGACCTAGATTAATATGCCAGCAGAAATCAGGCATTATTTTAGCAGAAAATAATATTTTAGCAGAAATATTATTAGCAGAAAACCAGAAAATATTTTAGCAGAAAATCATCAGAGAAATTAGTAAGTTAGTATTTTTAGCCTCCTGAAGCATGTGTTTAGGTAAACAAATTGTCATGAATCAGATATGACATAGAGAACAGTCCAATTTACAAAATTGAAAAAATATGATTCTGCAAATGTTTTGTTAAGGAATCAATTTTCACAAACAAGTTTAAATATTACTTTAATATCATGAATTCTTCATCTGTAGGACTCTGTTTATACTGACTTCTTTTATTTATTTTTTAAATGTTTATTTTTGAGAGAGAGGGAGAGGAAGAGTGCACGTCGGGGAAGGGCAGAGAGTGAGGGGGAGACATAGAATCTCTGTCAGCAGACCCCGATGCAGAGCTGGAACTTGTGAATCATGAAATCAAGACCTGAGCCAAAGACAGATGCTTCACTAACTGAGCCACCCAGGCTCCCGTATACTGACTTCTTTTAAAATGAAGAATAAATTCATTGAGTTTTCAAATGTAGGTTTCACATTATTTTATTTTATTTTTAAGTAATCTCTACACTCAAAAATAACAATCAATAATCACTATATAATATTTAAATACCTTCACTTAGACAAATGACAGCAAAATACAAAAAAAAAAAAGAGCTGAAGGAGGGGGGAGGAATAATCTGACAAAGGGGGAGGAATGAGTAGCAGCAGGTGGTAAAGTAGTTAATGGCTTCTGATAACTTAATCTTCATCTTGGTCATTTCTAAATAATTACCTCAGGGGCGCCTGAGTGGCTCAGTTGGTTAAGTGGCCTACTTTGGCTCAGGTCATGATCTCACCATTTGCGAGTTCAAGCCCCACGTCAGGCTCTATGCTGACAGTTCAGAGCCTGGAGCCTGCTTTGGGTTCTGTGTCTCCCTCTCTTAGCCCCTCCGCTGCTCATACTCTGTCTCTCAAAAATAAATATTCAAAAAACAGAAAATAACCAGCCCACTGGATTCAGCAGTACAGATTTCTATTTCAGTGTGTGATAACATTTTAATCACTTACAAAACTGTAGCTTCCTACTAATCTATAAACTCCCTCTGATCATTAACTAGCTATTTATCCAATTTTATAACCCTGGCATCTAGTAAAATAATGGGAAAAACTGTCCCTCATCAATGTGTAAAGAATTGATTGCATAAAATATCTAATTGACTAGTTTTAAATGAGACATTAAACTTAGGAATCTGGGGTTGCCTGGCTGGCTCAGTCAGTTAAGTGTCCATCTGGCTTTTAATTTCAGCTTAGGTCATGATCTCACGGTTCCTGGGATCAAGCCCAAGGTGGAGTCTCCTTGGAATTCTCTCTCCCTCTTTCTCTGGCCCTCTGTGGTCTCTCTCTCTCTCTCTCTCTCAAAACCAAAAAACAAAACAAAACAAAACAAAACAAAAACCCAGGAAACTGCTTTAGTTTTAAGATGATAAGAACTAATTCAAACTTTTTGCTCTTTGATCATTTATCATGCTATATGCAGAAACTGTTTTACTTCTAAATTTCAGAACTTCGTTTTTATATAAAATAATG